TTTTTTTTTGAGTGCAGAAAGCCGAATTCAAGTTCCTATAATGCCATCGCTCAGTCCTCTCGGGGTAATAAAATAGTCTGTACAATTCTCAAATAAATTTCTCTTCGTGTACGGGATAAAGCTGCACTCGGGGAACAAATTGCTGAAAGCCACTGGATTTATTCCCTCCGGATCCAAATTGGTGGATTGGAGGGGTATTTAGTTGGAATTCAACGGAAATCGAAACAAGTGGTGGAGTCAATCGAATTATTTGTAGACATAGCGTGAATATTCCAATTCCTACATACATCCTGTGTCTTAATATCAGCTCCATTGGAAGATGTTTCCAAAAGAGGCTAATTTGATTATTTTTATTTCTTTACCCTCTTCAATCAAAGTTTCTTCACTTTTTCCCATCATTTGCTTACTTATATTGTTCTAAACTTTACACTTAGAAAAACCTAAATGTAAATCCCGTCTAAGGACTCGTCTTTTACGCTTTCTGAAGATTTTTTTGCCCTTCAAGTTGAAGCGTAAATTACACTCAAAATCACCGTAAATTACGGTTACATAACTGTAATTTACGATTTCGTATTCGTAAATTTCGATGATCGTTTTCCGTATTTTACTTTTAATAATTAACGACGAAGAACAAAAACGAGAAATCGTTGAATTTACTTTACACTGATAAAACAAGAGATATTTCGAAATTAAGAAATTAATTTTTGATGAAATTTCTTTAATAAAGTTAACCATATTCTTTAAGAAAATTTCTATCATGAATCCTATAAATATATCCAGACGAGTCTCATATTCCCGGTTTACACCTTTATGAGAATATTTTTATAAGGCCATGAAATGTCGGAAAGTTCATTAATGGGGAAATTCCAGTCGGAACGAAATTGGAGAAGTTTTTAATTTATAAGAATTTATAAGTTGAAAACTAATTCAATTGAATAGTGAATAATTGAATGAAATTCGCACGCTTGAAGTGGAGTTATTCATTCGAAAATCATGATCATCATTCTTAATTCTTAGATTTTATTTATGATGTTCTTTTCCGTGGGTGCATGCAGGAAAAAAATACCCGAAAAATTACGGTGCCTGCACAGTAAAGGGTTTTATTCCCCCTAGTGAGACTCAGGCGATTTCAAGAACAGACTAGATTATCCTATAAAAAAATATTCCAGAATATACTGAAGCTAAAATATTTTTTGTCTGATTTAACAAAAAAATTCCACTCCTGAACCAACATTCAATCCTCCGCAACCTTTGCACTGTTTCGTTTATGGAGATATTACCACCCTATATGTCGGATATTACAGAAAATATTTGTAATGAAAGAGGATGAAACACATTTTATTTTTTTTCCACACGTGTACCCAGACGAGTCTCATATTCCGGGTTCATACCTTTATGAGAACATTTTCATAGAACAATGAAATGTCGGAAACTTCACTAATGGGTTCGAATGAAATTGGAGAAGTTTTTAATTGATAATAATTCATAAATTGCGAACTTATTCAATTAAATAGTAAATAATTGAATAAACAATCTGCGTGTGTTTGATTCGACTAAAAATTTCGGGTTTCACTCATGAACCAACATTCAATCCGCCGCAACCTTCGAAGTGCTTCAGTTATAAAGATATCACTGGTCAACATGTTGAAAAGATATTATAGAAAATACTTCTAATGAAAGAGGATAAAACACATTTTATTTTTTCCCACGCATGTACCCAGACGAGTCTCATATTCCCGGTTCATACCTTTATGAGAACGTTTTCATAGGACAATGAAATGTTGGAAACTTCATTAATGTGGAAATTCCAGTTCGAACGAAATTGGAGAAGTTTTTAATTGATAATAATTCATAAATTGCGAACTTATTCAATTAAATGGTGAATAATTAAGTGAAATTGTTCGGATTAATTTGGAATTATTCATTTGAAAATGATGACCATTGTCAACATCATTATCGAAAATGTAAAGTACGTGTCATTTAATATTCTTCCGAATATCATTCCGAGCTGTCCCTAACCGAAGTTCTTATATTTTTCTGATGTTGTTCCTGTCTATGGATGTACGGAGGTAAAGGATTTTATTCTCCCTAGTGAAGCCCAAACGATTGCAAGAGCAGAGTAGATTACTCTGTAAAAAATATTCCAGGATATGCGGAAGCTGCCCTGCGTGCGTCTGATTCCATTAAAAATTGCGCATTTCACTCATGAACCAACATTCAATCTGCCGCAACCTTTGAAGTGCTTCGTTTATGGAGATTACTGGTCAACATGTTGGATATTATAGAAAATATTCATAACGAAAGAGGACGAAACAAACGTTTCATTTTTTCCTACACGTGTACCCAGACGAGTCTCATTTCCCAGTTCATACATTTATAGAAACATTTTCATACACAGAGAGAAATTTTCGATAAAAATTATTTTACCGTTCTACAAAAGTGTATCATGAGTCATCGTTTCCCCATTTTTATCCCGAAATTTACTAAAAATTAATATATGATGATCAAATTTTATTCGACGTTAGAGGAATTTTATCCTGATAAAAATAAAAATTACCGTGCCGGTAGAGTAAAAATTACTGTACCGGTGGACTGGAAGGGTAAAATTTATTATGCGTGAGGATAAAATTTCTCTAACGTAGAATAAAATTTGAACATCATAGATTAATTTTTACTAAATTTCGGGATAGAAATGAGGAAACGATGACTCATGATACACTTTTATAGAACGGTAGGATAATTTTTATCAAAAATTTCTCTCCGTGTAGGACAATGAAATGTCGGAAACTTCATTAATGGGGAAATTCCATTCGGAACGAAATTGAACGAATGGAAGTTTTTCATTGATAACAATTCATAAACTGACAATTCATAATTTATTCAATAATTCATAATTTGCGACAAATCTAATACACAATGCGAATTCATAGTAAATTAGTATTGTCAAGTTTTTTTTCAACATCACATTTTTTAATCTCTTATTCTTCTGCAAATGTTTATTACATTCCTCGAAAATTCTCATCAAGTGACAGTTCCTCTGGAATTCCAAGGAGTTTCTTAATAATGAATTTCGTTTCAATAGCTAAGTGGTAAAACGGTACAAGTCAATTTTGCATATTGACTAGTTTTCAATGAATATCTCTGAATCTAAGGGAGATGGCAAAATTTTTGTTATAACCTTTTTTGTAGAGCCGATTGAGAGCTACAACAAATATAATCACGAAAATTCTCGTATCTCCGTTAGATTCTGAAATATTCCTCAAAAACTCAACTGGGAGATGAGTCAACTTAAACCGTTTTACCACTTCGCTACTGATTTCAATTAAACCACGAAAATTCATAGAAATCAGAAATGATCAGGTGAATATATTTTCGTATTTCTATTTATTAAAAAAAATTCGCGTAATCTGGTACTTAAGGTTCATCTTTTCATTGCAAATTCAAGTAGTTGGGAGAATTTTCATCTTCCTGCTACTCAGAAAAATTGGACTTCCATTCAATTTTCAGTGACATTCGAAATCTCATGACCCTCTAACCCAATTGAATTCAACGTAGGTGTTCTAAAAATTGCAACTGTTCATTAAATTTAAATTCTCTTCCACCAGTTCACATGTCCCCAGCAAATGACATCTTCCGACATTGTCAGAAATTTCTTGAACTTTCCGTCACAGCGTCATCTGAATTTTCGATGTTGGGAGGTTGAATTCAATTTCAAATGAAAGCGTTCACTTAATTTGTCATTCATCTTGAAAATTCAAAAAAATTGGGTTCGTCATGTTGAATCATCATTGATTTTTCAATGAAAGCTTGAATTGCCAAACTCATCGTCAAAACTGAACATCACATACAATTTAATTTTCAATAGATTGAGAATTGAGAGAAGTTGTTGCATAAATTGTCAAAATTTTCGAAGTGTTTCAGTGCCGTATGGGTCTGAAAATCGAGAATGACTTGAATATTCAAGAAATTAACTGATTTGTCAATGAAGAAATATCCAGAAAATTCACGTAACTTTGTCGTTGTTAAAAACTTCAAGCTTTGTCACTCGAAATTTCACGAGTAATTTTCCAACAGTAGAGGAATGTCAAAACTTCAAAACAAAAACAACAAAATAAGTTTTCCAACACTGACATTTCTCCACTAATAACTACGACCCCAGCAGTCCTCCATTCACGAAAGACATTACAAAATTCCTCAAAAAACTGAAAGAAAAGTATAACCTACTTTCCAAAAAGCTTCGCAGCAAAAACGAATGTCTAAATTTCACACACCTTTTGCAGACATTTTTCAGACACTAAAAAACGTCTCAATAAAATCAGCAGTGAAGTGGTAAACGGAGATGAGTCGACTTATCTCCCAGTTGAGTTTTTGAGGAATATTTCCAAATCTAAGGGAGATAGCGAAATTTTCGTGATTATATTTGTTGCAGCACTCAATCGGCTCCACAAAAAAGTTTATAACAAAATTTTGCTATCTCCCTTAGATTCCAAGATATTGATTGAAAACTGGTCGATAGTCAAAATTGACGTAGTGGACGTTGGGGTAAAATGGACAGTTTTGACTTTTAAAAAAATGTTAATGACAGGTTCAAATGTTGATGAAATTCGATAATTTTTGTTTTAATGCAAAGAACATTTCTTTCCCTTTGTAATCCGCCTAAACTGAGCTCAATCGATAAATTTGTTTCTGAGTTATAAGTAATTTAAGAAAAGTCCAAAGTGTCCATTATACCCCATCCTCCCCTATCTCCTTATACGACTTCTCCACTGAAATGAAAATTTGTCTAAATTTCAAGCATGACTTAAGATGTTTAGTCCCCTCTCATCTGAAATCCATGAAAATTTTCATTTTATTTACATGATTTTTAATGTTTAAAAACTCTACACAGACGTTTGTCCACACAACGCGTGTGAAATTCAGCCATTTATTTTTATAAAAAGCTCTGTGTTATAATAAGCCCTTGAACATCGAAATTCCCCGGAATAAGGATGAATAATCACCTAGTGTTGGCGGCAGTATCCTTGTCCTTGAACTTAATAAACCCACTCTTTTGTCCCACGCACCCTCAATCCCCCGAGAACCATGTGTCTGACCCAACTTTATAAACCACAAACACCAGTCAAGCAAAATCCCTCATGCCCATCAGTGCAAAAATATAACCGTCCATTATTTACCGACGGAAAACTTGGCAACGACCTTGATGCGAACGGTTTCGCGTGTTTAGCTGATTCCGCGGGGAGAGCTATCAAACCGGGAAAGCTGTTCCGACCGCACGGCTAAGCTCACCGCGGTGAGCATCAACTCTGACCGAGTGTCGCTCTGGTGGGTCGAAGCTCGCGCAAGCTCCCTCGTTGAAGCGTGGCGCGCATCGCGGGTTATGGTGGGGGCAAAGGGACAGATGTATCATGGAAGAATTGAGGGAGAAATAGGGCCAAGGAGGAGGGAAGAGTGAGGTTTGATGCGAGGTAAATGCGGAATGAGAGTTGGCGGGGAGGGGGGGGGGTTACCTGAGGACTTTACAAGCTGAGGAGATACCCAGCGCAGGGTGTGTTTGTTTATTAAATGTGTTCACCTCGCACTCTGTCCCTGAAACTCTCCTGCCGTCTCTGTTGCGCATTACTCTTCGAAGTATCGAGGATTCTACACCATTCGTCACTTTGCGGAGTCCGAAGGAGGGGGGCTGCTTTGATGGAGTGAGAGTGGATGGGGGGGGAGGCTTTTTGAAAGTCGAAAGTTTCTGGGATGAAGGGAATTTTTTTATTTTTGCTCAACGATTTCTGAAGACTCATTCAGTTTTAATGGAATGTGGGATACATTTGCGTTGATTTATGTGCAGAAGTATGGAGGAGTGATGGGGAATATGAAGTCTGGGGAGTTGGATTCCTGGAGTGGAATCAGAAATTAAAGTGGTATATAGTCGAGGAAGGCGACTTGATATCTACCACTTACTCCTACCAAAAAAGCTGAGGTGTTTCGCCCGCAGAAGCCAATTAGGTATCATTTGATCATTTGCAAATAACACATCAATTCGACACGTACACATCGCGCTGTGACACATATTTCGGATTTTATGTAAATTTGAAAACACAAGAGTCATATTCACCTGCCTGTATTTGAATCCGAATAAATATCAAAGCAAATTCGAATGCCTGCGGAAAAGATTTATTGATCTGGATTTTCGACGACAGGTAGAAACGTTAAGTCATTGTATCGTTTGTAATTCGGATTATTTGAGGGGTGTTGTGTACAACGTTAAACTGTAATTGATTTAGGAAGTGGCACTCGATTGTATTTTTTTGGAGTGAATTACGGACCAATTCACGTAATCCGCAAGGGGGAATCGTTTTCCGGCAATTTTTATAGGAATGGAAGAGAAGAAATCTGAAACGTTCAGTGAATTCTCAGGTTCATCACCGAACAAAATACGAAATTGTCACGTCATTTTTCCCGAAGAAGTAAAATCTTACAGAAACTTGCCGACTTATTAGCACGGAGAGAAATATTCAATAAAAATTACGTATCTTTTCCGTAATTCCGGAGCGAAATGTGGTTGTAGGAAATTTTACGGAACTGGCACGGAATTTTTCCAGAGCGTTCCGTAATTTTTATAAAATTACGATACCGTCACTTAAATTTTCTGAGTCGATTCCGTAATCGATGAGCGAACTGTGAGTTCCGTAATTTTTACTGAACATTTATCTCCGTGTGCCTCCAAAATAAAAAATTCTTGAACGTTCAACAATTTTTATGAAGCTGGTGAGTTATTTCTACGTTCCGTTCCGTGAAATTTCTCAATCGTTGGGGAAAAATTACGGAACGACTTGTTGTTCCCACAGCGGTGAGTCATCAGACGGGCGGTTAATTTTTACGGAACAAATCGTAGAATTTACGTGGCGATTCGTACAATTTCAGTTCGACTCACACTTTTTATTGAATTTTACTTCACTCGCAGATTACCTTTCGAAACGTAATTTTTACGTTTTTTTTCTGGTAATTTTTATTGAATTTTTCTCTCCGTGAGGGTTAATCAGGTGCCCCCAAACGAGAACAAAAAAAACTAGTGAAGAAGTTACTTTTCTCACACGTCACAATATTAAAATGTTTGAATTAATTCATTAGCTCTTTAATATCTGAAAAATATCCACAATAATGACAGAAATTTAAACCCCAGTTTTCCCAGTGCAGTCATGGTACCCCTTCACAGACAAGTTATCACACTTTGCTATTAAAGTCATGACAGTAAGTAATAGAAAGCCTTCAGTGCCAACTAAAACGCTATCTAAATCAGTGTCCACTGCGTACTTCTCGCAATCCTTATCACTTTAAATTAAATAGTTTCCGACAAAAACACATGTAACCTTATTACGTACATTAGTAATTGGATGAAGAAAACTACGATCAACACGACGAGATCTGCAATTAGCAAATTACAATCCAATGAATGCTGGTGCGCTCGGCTCTCACGCCAACTGTGTATATGAATGGAAGCTTGATGCTTTCGGATTCACGGATACACACACTCGTGATATCAAATGGGAATTAACGAATCCTGGTGACAATCCCCCGGGAACAATTCATGATTGGAAAATGAATAAGTATTGGGATAAATATTGAGGGAAAAAACATGGATGGGAATGAATTAGTGATTGTTACACGGAAATATGAATAGGATTATTCCAACCCGATAAATGTCTTTTCATTGTTGATTAATAAGAGAAAAGAAAACTGGCCCAGCGTTGAAGTAAAATCTAAAGAGTAAAACTCTTAGAATTAGGATTTTTCTCCTTTTTTCCCTATATTATAATTATTCCCAACCAGTGATAGGCATATCAATCAATCATACACGGAGAGAAATATTCAATAAAAATTACGTATCTTTTCCGTAATTCCGGAGCGAAATGTGGTTGTAGGAAATTTTACGGAACTGTCACGGAATTTTTCCGGAGCGTTTCGTAATTTTTATCTGAATCTCCTGTGAAAAATTACGATACCGTCACTTAAATTTTCCGAGTCGATTCTGTAATCGGTGAGTGAATTGTGAGTTCCGTAATTTTTACTGAACATTTCTCTCCGTGTAATTACCCGTTAAATTGTGAAGCTGTCAATTTTTAACACAAATCTTAAAATTTTAAATATTAAAGTAATCATCCATTTGTATATTTAAATTTGGAAATATTCTATCAACCAATAATTTAGGTAGGGAGATTGACGATTATTTGGATAATCGAAAATCAAGTACCTAAAGTTAGAATTAGCTTGGTAACTAGAAAATTACATTTCACTGTTATCAAATATTTTATTCACCACCAATCGAAAAATTCAGTTTATAAATTCTATTCTATTGCCAAAATCTAATATTATTGCCTGTCCCTGTTCCCACCCAAATTTCAATTCACCCGTCAACTTATCGTCATTTCATTATTTTTTTTTCAAAGCATGCAGCGGAGTGTCGGAACCTTTGATATTTTCCCCCACTCCGTAGCCCCAAAATTTACTGCGGAAGTTCCTCAAGATGAGATCAATAAAATTAAGCTAAAGTTCTTGTATTTTTCCCTCGATATAGAGCCAAAAGGACCTAAAACTCGACTCGACTCTTTTCAGTAATTTTCCCTCAACTTTTTTTTTTTATTTCATTGGTTTTATCGAAGTAATTCTCGATTTGAAACCCCTCCTCTAGCCTGCCTCCCCTCCTTTCTTTTTCTCTCATTATTATCTGGGGTATCATGGCCGTCTTACTGTGCCCCATTCGAGCTAGGACTGCACGGGAAACCATGTAAAACCCCAGTCGCTCAGCCGGCCGATTGTGCAGAGCCCTAATATACCCATCTGTCACACTGACTAGATGGAGACACTAGGCCACTACACCGTACCTACCGTCCGCAATTTTAGTGCGAGCGAGGTGTTCTTAAGCGGTCACCCATCCAAGTACTAAACCAGCTCAACGCTGCTTAGCTTGGATGTCCGCCGGAGCAACACCTCACCCACCTAACCATTACAGTCGGTTCTTTTCCCTTAACTTTTTTTCACGTAAAATATTCCGTCAGTGTATTTCAATCCCCCTCGAGATACTAATCTAAAAAAGCATTTCTCTCCGTGCATATTCGATTAATCTCATTCTATCTGTATCCCTCGGATACATTTTGACCAGAGGGAAGTATGTATTGAACTCAATGAAGCCAAAACGGTGGTACTAGATAAGGGACACATAACTCTGGGTACATATGATGCTGTAAAATGTCACTCTCCAACGGACACAAACTAATTTCCTGTATATAAACGGAAGAGGGTACACCAAGTTGATTCTATCGGAGCTGACGCCAAAGCGGCACGGTGAGAGCCGTGTGAGGAAAGGAGTGAGAGAGGGAGAGAGAAAAGCTGTTTGGTGTTTTGTTGAAGGCTATCCAACGTCCGGTTAGTAGTGTCTATTGTTTTTACGGTTTAAAGCGTTTCAGTTTTAGTATCGGAGTATGTAACGGTGTTGAATGTATTGTTATGGTTGGCTGCTTGAACTCAGTGGACTGGTGGAAATGGAGACTCGGAATTTGATATCTTAGGATAATGAAACACCAAGTAGACTGCCCAGAAATGTTGTTGTTGTTTGTCTTCTGATATCAGAACAAATGTTGGTGAACCGAGGGGGTAATCGAAGCGGAATTTACTGACACCGCGACCTCGAGAGGAAGTCGATTTTATGTGCTTCCGGCGGGATTTCAGTAGAGAGTTTTGCCCATCTAAATTTTAGCCAATAGAATTGCAGTATTCGACTGTTATTAATATTTAGCTAAATAACACGGTATTCAACTGATAATTTTTGGTAATTTCATTGATTATTTTTCCAACCCAAATATCGGGCAATATAATTGGCCCATTCGACATCACGTGGTACAATAGCTACAGCGTTTTCAACTGATAATTTTCTGATAATTTTCTCTGTTAGTTGCTATATAAAAAATAAAACATCATGCAGTCGAATTAACCCCTCGTCAAACTGACAGATTGAATTCAATTGTGTCGTTCTGTTAATTATACAATTTTCGTTTCTCAATTGTGAGTTTCGTCTCATGGTCCAATTATATTGCCCGACATTTGGATTGGAAAAATAATCCCCCGAATACCACACGAGCTTCAAAATTAATCGGGCATTTTCCTCAAGGTTCCCTGCATACAACAGAAGTCGTCAAGTTTGTTTGCAACGAACCTATCGGAAAATACCCGATGATTTTGAAGCTCTTGTGGTATTACAAGTGATAATTTCAACTGATAATTTTTGATAAATTCATAATTTTC